TAAGTGTATCATTATATATATATATGCGTTTCAAAACAAACAATTGTCAGTTCTATTACTCTTTACCAAGAAAATCATTAGGATTACATTTATTATCACTTTTTTGTGTAGTATAATGTTGTAAAAGTGATTATTTATAATGTGCATTTTTTATTGCAAATTCATTTTTTACTCTATTAGATTATCACTCTATTATGATGTCCTATAATGTGGAGTCTGTTTCATTTCTTTTTCTTAAATCTTTTTTACAAAACTCAAGAAAATTATGTTGATTTTCTTTATCATCATTACAATACTTATTTTTCGTTATCTCAGGTAACTAAAAAATAAATATCTTTCATTAGATTTCATTATTTCAAATGATTGTAAACTATGCCTATTATAAAAGTAATAAGCATAAAACTTTAATGCTCAAGAAGTTACATAATATCGCAGGGGAGTTGAAGCGCAATTCACTCAGCGATGAAAATGTTTTTTTTTAAACATGTATTTTGAAAAAACACTACCTGGATGTAGTCACTAAATTTGAACAAAATCACGTATACAGATTTCAAAAAAATATTTATAAAGTTTCTCTTTCGTCGTCTTTAACATGGGCTCAAATGTAAGTTGTCAAAAAAGTTTTTAAAAAATATCCATCATACTTGATGAAGCAACGAGAACGTTTCAAAAAACTAATATTTTATGTATGACAAATTTATTGATACACGTTCAAAGTTTCAACAAAATCGGGTCTGCAGTAATGGAAATATTTGCACTACGGTAAAATAATTTTATTATGTTGGTTGTTGAAGATGTAGTTCTGCTCTCAGTTGTTTCCATAATTTCTTGAATTTTTATTCTTACTTCTTGATTAGCTCTAGCTTATCGTGTGCTTACGCACTGACCTTCAAAGAATCACGTAAACAAATGTTTTTTCAGCTCGTTTGCTACACTTATGCTGGAGACAAGAACACACTGAGTATACTATCTGCCATCAGCTTAACTTTTTGCGTAACATGGTGGCTTCTAACAAAATCACATCTAGAAACTGTTCTATTTAAAATTATGATCCCAAACTTGACTATGCTATTAACTTCTTATGTTTTATATCCCTTAAAATAAAGTATTTATGCTATTTGATTTGTACTATAAGAAACTGTATACCTTGAAGAATATTATGTTATTATTCTTAAACGTATTATTAACACATTCATGAGTACTGACAGCAAGTTAAACAATAATACATTTTCCGTCATCGGGAGGGCAGAAATTTTTGGGATAGGTCAGTACAGCAGACTTTGTAACGGCCCCTTATGCATATACACGTGCTTCCCTTTGATCCCTCGCCGGTGCGATTCAACTCTCTTAAAAGAATATGTCGAATCTATAGCAAGGAGACCAAATCATATTCCATACCGTCAAGTCTTCGGTTATACAAGAGATGAGCCGATTAATTAAACTAGATCACAAGGAACGCATACAGGCAAGTGATATTTTTACGACCTCACAAGGTCAAGAGTATTATAGTCAATTAGACTTACTGCACGAGAGTAGTGTAGCTAAGCCAGTTTTAAAGGACTTCTGGACAATTGCCCGAAGGATTTTTCAATCTTATGTTTTCCAGCAGAGAAAAAATTGGTCGTTCCCTTTCCAGAAATTCCCCAGGAATACGGAAAAAATAGTTTTGTCCAAATCAAAAATCGGCTTCATTTATTTATTCAACAATGTATAATAAAATGCCAATTTTTTATTTAGTTTTTTGGTTATATCTCCGCTTTTATTCCTCTTATAGAAATTTTTCGACTACCAATCTCTTTGTCATCAAGTTACCTATCAAGAAGATACTTTTGAAAACCCATTATCGATTGTTAATAACATGTTAATGGCAAAAAAGTGTCAAAAAAAGTTTTTTGTACCGAAAAACTTTAGATTGACTTAAAAAAAAACCATCATGTTAATTTGAATATTACCCAGCTAAAATATTTTTATTGAATTTGATAACAAATATCTATTTATAAAATTGCAAAATAAATGTAAGTTTTTTGTTAATTAATTTTTTAAGGTCGATATTTAAGATGATATTACGAACTTTACAGTCAGTTCATCGAAATTTTGCTTCGATAAAAACATTCTATTAGATGTTATAGCAATAATAACAAATAAAAAAATGGACTTCTGTGATTTCTGACGTTTTGCCAGCAAAAATTGTATTTTGCAACATAAAAAATTGCAAATATCTCCGTCAATTTTGCATATTTTCTTTCTGAACAGATATCATTTGATTTATGAATGATAAAAAACATAAATTTGA